TGCCTTTGGCACCAGTCTTGTAGCCATCTGCATGATTTAATGGCTGTTTAGGTGACTGGTTGTACCTCAGGCTTGGGTTGTTTTGGTTTTTTTTTTTGCATTTTCATAACTGTAGGTGAAGAAAATTACAGAAGTTGTGTAGTTATTCTGTGAGACTTTGTTGTGTCCATTAAAATGTTTACATTTCGAAGGTGGGGAAAGGGAAACAGACCCTTCTAAGCAAATCACAATATATGCCATATATTAAAATATTTAACAGATTCAAACTGAGAGAGCTGAATTTGAGTTACTAAATCCAGTCACATAATAAATGGTAATTTGCTTCCTGTTAGATGTGTGTTGTCTCTTCTGGTCAATGTGTGAGGTGTGACACATTTGGTTAGAGTTCTTTGTACATTTGCATCTATGTGTTTATACATCTTGATGCATAAAGGTTGGGGGAGATCAAACTAAATGCATGCACAAAGAATTGTTAGACTCATCTTCCTTGCAGATCTTATTTGCTACAGCTAAGTGTTAATGCCCCAGCTATTTCGTGTCTCCATTAATTGCTAAAAATAAAGCATTAGGTGGTGGAGTATATTAAGAAAACAGCATTTAATGAAGATTTGATTGTTATCACCAGCATTAGAGCTCAGGCTAATGCTAATGAAGTCTCACAAATATTACAGCATCCCTGTTGAGTCTTATCTCCATTGTGGTTCTGCATTTGAATGCTTCACATAGCCTCGGGCGGGTCAGCCTTTTAAGAAGAGTTGCCTTCCCACTAAGAGCTTTTCCTTGTAAGAATTGTTCCATTAAGATTATGCGTTACTTTTGACCTTGTTTGAGAGAGGATGTGGTAAGAATTTACTAATTCTTTCATCTCAGTTGCTTTCTTTTCAAGCCACTTTATAGCATGGTTTTTACGCCCTTTGTTTTTTCCTTTTTTTTTTTTTAGTGATACAAATGAGGTAGACATACCTCCAAATACTCGTGTAGGAACAAAACGCTATATGCCTCCTGAGGTGCTGGATGAAAGCTTGAATAGAAATCACTTTCAATCGTACATCATGGCTGATATGTACAGTTTTGGACTCATCCTTTGGGAGATAGCAAGGAGATGTGTTTCAGGAGGTAAAGAGCTGGGAGATCGCTTTTAATTGTGTCAGTAAACTGCATTTATATCCCAAATCTTCTATTACATCCTTTTCCCTTGGTAATTGTTTTTACTGTGATAAACAAATGTGGATAAGCCATACAGGTAACTCTCTCAGTATCTGTTTTCTCATCAAAACTTATTTTAAAGCATCAGTCAGTGTTATTTCAAAAGCAGAGATTTAGGTTGTATTTTAATGGCTCATTTGAGGGTGGTGGATGCCTGCACTGAAGAAGGAATATGGAACTCATCTGGGGGCTTTTTCCAATGGCAACACATTTTTGCTGGACTGAGGCAACTCAGCTATTTTAGCAGAAAGTAAATAGTGATTTCTTTGTTTTGTCAAATTTAAAAAGAAGGAGGAGGATAAAAATTTTGGATTTATGCTGTGCTACTGTTTAAAATAAATAATCTATTTACAAGACAAGTAGTGAAAAAAACCAACCACCACCCTGTGGTATAAAACATTCAAGCATGAGGACAGCAAAGATAAAGCAATGTAGACTTAGGGCATAGATTGATCCTTGTACACATAGGCTTTGTGTGTTTTCTGCACATAGAGCTCAGTGTAGTTCAGAAATAATGGGTGTCGTTACCCCTGTTTTGCCACTGAGGAAACACAAATGCAGAGATATGACTTGGCAGCCATTATGTGCCAGATTGGTGGCAAGTAAGAGTAAGAGCATGTCTCTCTTGGGTCTGTGTTCCTTCCACCAGACTTTATGGGTCTTAAAAGCCTGCAGTATTGTGCTGAGTGCTCACTTCATGCTTAGCCTAAAGGAGTTGTATTCCATTGATGAGCAGTGTGATCCCTGTGTTCACAAACTGGTCAAGTGTCTTGCAATGATGTAGTATAAAATCTGTAGTATTTTTGTCATTGTTGCTGTGCACAAAGAATGGTACCTTGCCATGTTCTGAAAGGCACAGAAATGTCCTCTAATATATACCAGGTCCACTGATAAGGAGGAGACCTAATTTAAAGATAATTCTCTGCCAAATTACCCTGCTTTGGCTCTATGCTAATATTTCTTTCTGTGATAAATTACTGGAGATTGCTGGACTGGGCAACCATGATAGAAACTGTCTCACTTGGCAGGCAACTATGCTTTTGGAGCAGGATTTGCCAGTCTTTACATGGCAATGACTACACTAGAACTTGACTGGAATAAACTTCTTGGGCAGGGAAGTCCATTGAAGGAGGAGTCCATCTATTTGTTAAATAGTGGTCAATCTGTTACAAAATGAGCTGGGAAGAGGGTGGTGGAAAGTGTCTTCTGCAAGTGATGGGCAACTAATTGCTTCTTTCAGGAATAGTTGAGGAATACCAGCTTCCATACCATGACCTCGTGCCCAGCGACCCCTCGTATGAAGACATGCGGGAGATCGTGTGCATCAAGAGACTACGCCCTTCATTTCCCAACAGATGGAGCAGTGATGAGGTATTGTCCTTCTTAAAATGCACCCTGTTTTTCATCAGAGCAAGTAAGTGAGGTTGACCCAATTCTGCAACGTTTTGAGTGAGGAGGAGCTTTATCACTGACCCTAGCACCAGTCACGGAGGAACAGGGCTCAGGAAGGCCCACGAGGTTCTCAGGAATCCCCACTAGAGGTGTTCAGAGCTCCAGGGGCCACCACCTCTGATATTTGAAAGCAGATTCCTCATGTGCTGTCTACCAGATCCCACAGCAATAGCAGGCTGTGCTCAGACCTTCTTAGTCTCTTATTTTCCTCCTGCAATCATTTTGATGTCTTCTCCGAGCATTCATAACATTAAATCAGTGGCTATCCAAAAATCTTGGAAGAGAAGTCATTTTGTAGCATATAGCATAGTGGCAGCGTACTTGGTGTCCTGGCAGCTACTTTAGCATATAGGCTGTAATTCCAACTTTTTTCTTCTTTTTTTTTTGTTATTCTAAAGAAGGAAATATCTCCTCTTGCTTTGAAATGAAACGAGCACGCAGCTTTTCTGTGGTCACAGGTGTGCAGGCTTGGAAACACGATTTTACTATGATTTTACAGTAATATTAGCACAGGATATTAAGTTTCACCATTATGGTATGAGATGCAATTGTACAGACAGACCAGTGTAGCTGGGCTGCACTGAGGAGCCCTCATCATTCACTGCTTCACATTGCAGTAAAGATGGCTACAGGTGTGGCCTTTCAGAGGAGAAGTAGGATGCAGAAAATGCTTCCCAAAGTAATGAGGAGGTGAGAGAGCAGGGACAGAATCTAAACTCTCCCTGCTGAGACTCTGTGACAAAGCAGAGTTCTGCTTGTGGGATCAGAGACAAACAATTGAGGTACCACAGGCAAACCTGCCACCTGCTGTCTGCTCTGCTATGGAGCAGGGGTCATTAATTATGTTAATTGGTACAGTTTAGTGCTGTAAAGTCTTCTACAGTTGCAGAAGACATCTGCCATTTGGGAATAGGAGTGTGTAGATGAATATTCTGCAGGTAGTGAAAGATTTAGGTGGTGTGAGATGTAGGAAATGTGGGAAGGTGAGTGAAACATAAAGGCTCAAGGACCTGTGCAACAGCCAGTGTGGTAAGTTCTCACTGAGAATCACCCGCCTCATCCTCTCCCTAGCCAAATCCTTTTGAGGCTTCAGACTGGGAGTGGAAATCCTGGAGGAAGCACTGTTAGTATTGGTCCCGGGAAGGACTTTTGTGCAGTAGCACACTGTGTGTGTTTGGTCTGCTACCACACGTACTGAGGATTGGGGAGCCTCCTTGAAATAATTGTTCTTGATTAATTGGTTAGTGTCAGTGGTAATCCCACTCCAGGCACTGTAGTGATGAGAACCAAACTTGTTAGTGCATAAAACCCTCTGTATCACCAAAATGCATTTATAAAAATATAATACATCTGAAATGTATTAGGCTGGTCTGCACACTACCAGTGGAGTTTATGCTTAGTGCCTTTCAGGGTCTGCAATGCTTCTGGGCCAGGAGCCTCATGAAAATGGAAAGCAAGCTAGATGAGACAGAAGGTGTCTCTTTTCCTGTTGTAGCAAGAAAATCTTCAGGCAGTGTAAATCTGTAGGCTGATGGGGTCATCACCTGGCTGTGGTGGCTTGGTGGATGCCGGGCTGTACCCCAGGGGGTGGTCACTAGCTGAGGAAAACAAATTCCACTGAATTTGTACAGCAGGGGGCTTGCTGTACAGAGCCACGCATGTGCAGGGTCAGGCTGTGTGGGTTTGGGGAAGGGAAAATAAGAAAAGTGCTTTTGTGGAGTATTCCGCCAAGTCTAGACTATAACTTTGTAAGAGTGATTGCCACGTTTGGAGAACTCTTTTAATGTGCAGAAAATAAAAGCTCTCAAAAAGCAGTACCAGCTAGCATGTTCTCTTTTTTTGTTGTTGGAAAAGAACTTTTTCCCTTCAGTTTTTCAGCATTGCTACCAATTGCAGTCTCCTCTTCCACTGACCCACGTGGGACTTTGTCTCCCATTTCTCTCTGCAGTGCCTAAGGCAGATGGGGAAGCTGATGATGGAGTGCTGGGCTCACAACCCTGCCTCCCGGCTCACAGCCCTGCGGGTCAAGAAGACACTTGCCAAAATGTCAGAGTCACAGGACATTAAACTCTGACTTGGCCGGAGGCAGCTTTTGTGAAGGCCCATGGAAACAGACTTACTCGTGCAGGCAGAAGTCCTGAAGAGGTATTGAAAGTCTTCACTCCTAAGTACCTTGAATGCAGTCATGTTCAAGAGCAGCTGTAAGTTTCTTCAACAGCTTTTGAGGAGATTATCCTTTGCAAAAATCAGCTGAATTTGGACATACAAGATTGGAAAAAGGCTTGTCTGCCCTTGTTTACGTGGGGAAATACAGTTTTAGTAACTGGGTTAAGATTATGCATGTTGCTTTCCATGAAAGCCACTTATTATTTTATTATTATTATTATTGTTATTATTATTATTTTGATTGTTTAAAAAGATACCGATTTAAATTTTATGAAAATAAAACTTTTGGTTAGAAGTAAAAAAGATGTATATCGTTACATTAAAAAAAAAAAAAAAGAAGAGGAAACTGTGCTGGAAATTAAAGCAAAGCAACTTTTTCATTTATCAAGAGACTATTGCACTCCAGTGTTTAAAAAATAAGGAGAGTGGGTCTATACAGCTCAGAGGAACTGCAATGGCAACTGTCTTAAAAGCCACCTACCTGCCAAGGCAACTTTCCATGCCCTGTGCGTGAGTGGTTCTCCCAGTATAGAGATGGAGCCCAAACACATCCCTGCCATCATTAGCACGGCTCCTGGGGGTGGCCTGTCCAAGGGGAGGTCCTGCTTCAGTTCAGATCATGGGGAGCTCTGTGAATAGGGTTTAGTGTGGCGTGTTCGAAGACATTCTTCATGTTTCCAGGAAATCTGATGGGTGTGGTACCAGAATGATAAACAAGAGCCCTTTTTCTCAGCCTTTTTTTTGTTCGTTTGTTTCCCCCATTTCAAAATAAAGTATTTTATGTGTAAGCAGAAGTACATATTTGGATCTGCTGGTAAATTTGAAACTGCTGTGACCTACATACATGACCACTGGTTAAGAGGAAGTTCCTTGTGAGAAAAAAAATTATTAACTTGCTCTTTCATCTGTGTAAAAGTGAGGTGTCCCTCTACAGCCACAGTTGGGAAAAAAAATAATCTGTGTTCCTTTCTTTAAAGGAAGGGGAGAGGAGCAACAGGAAACTTACTTTAGTGTCTTTGCCATTCCTCCTTCCTGGGGCTGCAGCAGTTGCTGCAATGTTAATATTACAGAAGGGGAAATGAGAGGTTAAATATTCCACATGAATAGGTCTCTGTTCTTTGTCAGAGTATCAAAACTGAGCTGTGTGAGAGTTACCAGTTTACCCTTCTTTACACTTTTTTTTTTTTTTTTAATTTTTTGCCTGCTTATGTCTTGTTTCACTAGATGGTGTTCAGTTTAATTTTGAAATAAGTCCTTACAAATGCTGCCTTCATTACGCTAAGCCTATTTCAGAACTGAAATAATTGCCATGCTGGATTTAGCCTCAGCATTTCTGTAATGCTTCTTTTTTCCCTTTCTGGACAAAACTGATTTAGTTGTGGTAGGTAGGCATATAATTGGGGTTTAGCTTCATGGCTCCCTGAAGGTATTTCTAGTAGGAAAAATTACCATTTTATATTTTCAAGCTAACAGAGAAAAATGTGCAGGTTCAAGAGAACCAGCAAGACCTCCGTGATTATAGGTATTAAAAAGTTTTATCAGAGGACTTTTGTTAATTAGAGTGCTTTTTCTGCAGTGCGGTTTTCCTGCCTGTGCCTAGAAAATACCAAACAATGGAGGAAGAAAATCTCTGAGAGTTAATAGTACACTGAACCCTGGCCCCAAGAGGGTTGATGCTGGTTTCCTGTTCTTAAATCCAGGGTCCTTGTGTGGCTGGGAGCAGAGTTTACTCCTCTCCTTGGCTACCTCGGCTTGAAGATTTGTGGCCCAAAATGAGGAGGACAGCCCAGCCCCTCTTCACCTTTTTGTCTTAATGTGTGGAGCCACAGGGATTCAACTGTCACTCCTTTTGCCTTCATGCTCTTTAACAGAAATCCCTTCAGCCCTGAGGAGCTGGAGTTTCTCAGCTCCAGCTGAGTGGACGTGCCTGCTGGCTTTGGCAGCTGTTGGGGCAGGCTTGGTAGATCCCACCTCTGAACCTGGTTGTTGTGGCTCCTGGGTAAGTGGTCCCACGGCAGGGTTACCGCTGCCCCCACACCGTGTTTAGGTGTGTTTCACATCTGCTCTCCTCAAATAGATTTTTTTAAAAATGATTTTTATTTTCGTGGCTCCCTTCAGAAATATTTTGGAGTGTGCTTTGCTGGCTGGTGCACGTGATGCACCTGCTGTCAGTGTGTTGTGAGAGAAAGGGCCAGTCACTGGTTTTCTGAAGAAGTCTTACTTTTTTTTTGGGCCAAAATAAAGGGATCCAAGATACTGGCTGGTAGGTTACATAAAGTGTGTATGTTAAATGTTCAAGTTTTGTGTTTTTTTATATATATATATAAAA